TTTTATTAATTATTAATATATTAAATATTAAAAATAAGACAAATTTCATTGATAAAAGATGGATAAAATAGTAGAAGACAAAATTGTTGGTTTTTTGTTATGTTTAACTTTAAAAAATGGTGAAATTAGACAATTTTAAGATATTTATTGTTCATTACTATTGATTTGACGTTTTTAAGATATTAGTTGTTTGTGATTTAAGTTAATTGTCTTATAGCTTATGGTTTTTTATTATTACAAGTAATATGTTTGAACTCTTAAAACCGTTTGAGCTCTAAACTCTGGTTAAAAACCACACAAAATAACCGCACCAAATTCATGCGGTTAGTAACCGCAACACAAAAAAAAAACGCACCGCAAAAATAACCGCCTAACCGCACCAAACGGTTTTGAAAATGGATTAACCGCATTTGCGGTTAATGGTAAGTTTTGACTAATAACCGCACCGAACCGCACCTCGCTCCCGTAACAATAAGTATGAATAGTCTTTTAAAAAATAAAAAGAAAATATTACTTAGCAAATAAAAAAACAAAAAAAAATTATATATAATGTAAATGTTTTAAAATTATTCCAACTTTTTAATACTTTTTAATTATAAGTTTATAAACTTTTAATTTTTTTAATACAATGTTTTAAACTAATATTTAACGAAAGTATTTTAAAATGTTATAAAAAAATACTAAACTAACATACAAAATCTGTGAAACACGTTAAAAATGTTGTAAAATAAAGTTTAGAAATAAATGTATGAAAGTTATAAAAAAAAATTGTATGGAAATGTAAAAAAAAAAACAAAAAACAAAAAAAAACAATTTTTTTTTAATATTTGTAAGAAAAATTTAAAATATTTTTAAAATATTTTGTTTAAAAACACTTATATTAAAATTATATTGAATTTGTACAAAAAAAATATCATAAAAAATTATAAAAAAAATTAAGAAATTTGTAAAAAAATGTTCACATTTAAACAACCTTCTTTTTTTGTACACAGGTAACAATGGTAATATGTGTATACATTTAACAAATTAGATGGTCAAATATATAAAAAAAAATAATAATAAGTTACCTAAATGTAAACAAAACAAAAAATATTACCCGCAATTAATATTCCAATAAAAATACTATAATCACACTAAAATCCGTATCGGCTTCCATATAAACATGACACCGGTACCCCGTTACTTTGGTAAATTTAAATAAAAAATAAAATTTAATAATGATAGGTATATAATAAAGGTAAAACTTTAGTTTATTGGTAATACGTATAAAAAGAAATTCACTGGTACACTGAAAGTGTGCCCTAGGCTCTTCCTTCTTTGTCCTGACGGCTTCGTCTTCGGCTCTTCACTTCATCAGTTAAGAATCCCCATCCACCCGGCAGCCATCAACATACCGACGCCCACGGCACTTAACTAGCCGCGCCACGTCACCACACCATCGCCGAAGGTCCCACCTTCTCCGGCGATTGCAGGTATGCATTTTTTCTTTGTGTTTGTTTGCACTCCTTGAAACCCTCGTCACCTTCCATCTCCGGCTAGAATCAGTAGAAATTTATGTGGCAATCTCTAGAAATTTCTTTGTGTTTGTTTGTAGAAATTTCTTTGTGTTTGTGTTTGTTTTTTTGCAGAAGTTTCTCTGTGTTTATTCGGTAGTAATTTCCAGCAGCCTAACTTGAGTACTTGACTATTTTCCATTCCTGATATTTGCATAACCTGACTTTTTCAGTAGCAATTTCCAATAGCATAACTTGATTTTTTAGTAGCAATTTCCAGTACCAGTAGCTAATCCTGAGTTTTGATGGACTTCCTGGTTATTTTGTTGACAATATCAATTAGCACATTTCAGCTGTCTGTGTGGTCATACATATATATGATTTTGTGCTTTGTATTTGGAAATCTACATGCCATTCACTATCCATGTATGATGATGTCAGGAAAATTAGATTAATTATGTTAAGGTTAGTTAACCACCTGCTAACTTCTCACTTCTATCTAATATGCATTTCTTTTTTATTATTGTAAGTTTGAGCAGCCGTTTATGTTAACCTGTCTACTTATTGATGATTTTGATTTTTGTATATTCTAGCAAGTGAGTGAAATATAACAAGAATGGCAACCAAGGCAATGTATCTTTCTGTGACTAATCAGTCTTTACTCTCAAGTCCTGCAACTACAAAATCACTACAAGTTAGATCATTCACTGTGAGATGCTCCACTGGTGCTGCCTCCACGGGTGTTCCAGTTTCTGGTATTATTTCTTTAAACAAGTTGAAATTTTTACCAGTGACCTAAGTAAACAACTTCACATATCTTGAGCTAATAGAAGGTTTATGTAGCTCCTTGGAAGGTCTCAGATGCTAGACTTGTTCTTGAAGATGGATCCATCTGGAAGGCAAAATCATTTGGTGCTTCTGGGACTCAAGTTGGTGAAGTTGTATTTAACACTTCATTAACAGGGTGAGATATGGATATAATATATGATGATGTAAATAGATAGAAAGCATGATTTTTTTTTTTGGCATTTTACCTGTTGAATAATAATATGTATCCATATGCTGTAGGTATCAAGAAATTCTTACAGACCCAAGCTATGCAGGCCAATTTGTCTTGATGACAAACCCACACATTGGCAATACTGGAGTGAATATTGGTAAGTAAGCTTGCTTTTGTACAAGCTTTCTAGGGTGATACCAATTAAAATAGATTTTAATCATCATGATCATGATCATGATCTGAACAAGAATTATATGTTTATATACAGATGATGAAGAATCAATCAAGTGCTTCCTGGGTGGTTTAGTAATTAGAAGTTTGAGTATCAGGTAGCCTATATGAATGATATGCATCATCATTCTTGTACTCCATTGTTTAGTGGTTTTATTTTAACCTAAACTAATTTTGATTACTAACAGCACTTCAAATTGGAGATGCACAGAATCACTTTCTGACTATTTGTCAAAAAGGAACATCATGGGAATATGTATGTTTTGTTTTTCTATTTCATCATATTATTAAATACAAAGGGATGGATAGGTTTTGATTGTTGTTTGTGGATTGACAGATGATGTTGACACTCGTGCAATAACCCGGAGGTTACGGGAAGATGGAAGTCTGATCGGTGTCTTGAGCACAGAAAAATCAAAGACGGATGAAGAACTTCTGGAGATGTCACGCACATGGGATATCGTTGGTAATGACCTTATCTTAAAAGACCAAAACACCCTCATTATATATGTTTAAATACGGTTCAGTTTTTTCAGTGAATTGCATTCCATTCCTTTGACATTTTCTGCAGGTGTGGATTTAATTTCTAGCGTCTCTTGTAAGAAGCCTTACGAATGGGTTGGTAAGACCGATATGGAATGGGATTTTAACTCCAACAAAAGACATGGTGACACTTTTCATGTGAGTTTCTTTTATAAATGGACCCAATCACTATAATGTCATCCAAACACAAAAATTTATTAAATCCCTGTTTAAAAATGAAAATGAAGGTTGTGGCATATGATTTTGGAATCAAGCACAATATATTGAGGCGATTGGCATCTTATGGGTGTAAAATCACGGTTGTTCCTTCAACATGGCCAGCATCTGAGACTCTTAAAATGAAACCAGATGGGGTACTTTTCAGCAATGGACCTGGCGACCCTTCTGCTGTACCTTATGCTGTTGAGACAGTGAAGGCTATTATCGGAAAAGTTCCTGTTTTTGGAATTTGCATGGGACATCAGTTGCTTGGTCAGGCCTTGGGTGGGAAGACATATAAAATGAAATTTGGTCATCATGGAGGAAATCATCCTGTTCGTAACCTCAGAAATGGAAGTGTTGAGATTAGTGCCCAGGTATTATATATTAGTATCATTATTGTTATTAATAAATATTATTATTAACTTAATTTGTTGCAGAATCACAATTATGCGGTTGATCCAGAATCACTTCCAAATGGAGTGGAAGTGACTCATGTGAATCTGAATGATGGAAGCTGTGCAGGTCTTGCCTTCCCTCAACAAAAACTCATGTCTCTTCAATACCATCCGGAAGCTTCTCCTGGACCCCATGATTCAGACCTTGGTAATATTCAATGCCTTTCTTCCTTATCATTCGCAAGTTGCAACAACTTTTACAAAATAATATCTTTACTAACAAGTAAAAATAATTCCTTATCATTATACTTGTATTGCTTTGTGTATTTTGGCATCCTAAAATACACAATGATAACAATGTCCTTCAGATACTAAAAAAAAAACTGAAAGTACAATGGAATAAAAAAAAATGAAAGTAGGGTGCTACAATAAGCAAATAAATGGAAGTTGGTTGCTGTTTCTTGCATTTAGCTCCTTTATTTGTGTAAACACCTAATAAACTTGATATTTGAGTGATTGCAGTATTTGATGACTTTATGGAGCTAATGAAAAGGGAAAAGGCAAGTACATGAGTTGTAGTTGATGCACATCTTGACAAAGAGTAGTAGAAGACTTTTATTTAATGCAAAACCATCAAGGATTAAGATTCTGATGTTCTTTTTATAAGATTTCATCAACTATTTGGGTTTGTATGCAAAGTTGTGTTTGGTACACTGAATGAGACTGGATTGGACTGGACAAGTTTTCGTAGGTAATTTTTGATCAAAATGAGGGCATTTATGTCTTATGCACGTATGAGAGGCTGACTCCTTCCTGACTCCTTCACGACATCTAGTTGACTATACTTGACTGTCAGTCAGCTGACCTTTTTTCTTTTTTCTTTTTCAATACAAGATAAATTTATTATATTAATTTTTGGTTTAATTTGTTTGGCAATCAACGCATCGTCACTTAGTATTATTTGTTTCTTCTTCCAATTCACGTGTAATCGTTGTGATTTATCTTCAACCAAAGGTTTATTCGTTGTATTTCTTTGGCATGTTTTTCGAAATTTAATTCCAAACATCAATGTATCTTTAAACTTCTCTTTGTAGGGCAAAATGAAAAATCTACAAGTTAAAAGCGCTTGGAAAACAATCCCGTTGATACAAAAAAAGAAGTTTTTCAATCATAAAAAGACAAGGGTGATTAATGTAAATTTAATTAAAAAACTAAAACAAATGTTTATGTACTATTAACCGAGTTAATCATTGTAAATGTATCAATGAATTTTGAACACCTGTCGAGAAAAGTTGAAACCACATCATTAATCAATTCCTTTTAATAATGCTTTATGATGCTCGTCTAAAACTGATGCAACAACAATTAGTTATAATAATGATTATCAGCTCAAAAGTTAGGATTTAATCGAGATGTCGTTTTTTCCTTCATTATGTGAAAATTTTAAATGTTGATATACACAAAGGCAAGGATGCATAGAGTTATGTCGTGTCTATGGACCCCTTTGAGTTAATTTTTTGGATATAATATTATATTCTTTGGTGGACACTATTAAAAGTTATAGACGGAGACCGTTGGAAATTTTAATCCTTTAACTTAGCAAATTATAAGATAGTACAATTTGAAAGGTGAGGGGAATTAAAAAATTAAAAACATGTTTTCATACATATTTTGGAACAAAAAAAGTGACTGTTGAATTGCTAAATCCGCTATTAAAATTGTCCAAATCCACAAAAGGTATATAACTATATACGTAAGCATGCCTGTCAAACACAAACAGACAATATTGAAGAAAAAGGGATCTTAAATTTCACATTGCCCCCTCTACCAATACTATTTTTAATATGGCACTTAATCAGCCATTAAGGTGATCTTGATTCTTGAAGCTAATCAATAAGTTTTCCACTTCAATATGGCATACTCATCTTCAACGATTAGGGTCCCATGTTTTCTGGTTTCTATTCCCTGGACTCGTTGCACCATTTCAACTTCCAAATTTTGCCTTTCGGCCATATTTTGAAGACAAACAACCTTATTTTGTGTTCCAATAATAATTCAAGGTGTTTAACTTCTTGTAACTTTAGTCTAGGGTCTCCCGTAGATATTATACTATCACGAGGGGTGTATTAGAAAATCTGGGTATTGCAGTTCCAGTTTTACCCTCCAAAATTATGGCGCGCAATTCTTCAAGAGGTTGACCAACCACCAAATCAATGGTGGTGGGCGCGTACAGTGATGTAGTTCAAAGTAACCGAAGCCCTAGTTCCTCGCTCCTGTATCGGGTGTAATTTATAAGCTTTAAATTATTTTTCTATAATTTCATTTGTTTTTACTTTTGTCTCTTGTGCATTCCAGCTTCTTCGCATATACCCATAATTGGCTTTATTACTCGTCAGATTATTCGAATTCATTCCATATCTACGACCCCCTCATGAATGTCGTAGGGATTTGATTTAATTTCTCCAGTTACAGCATCGAATTCCTTTCTCTTTATTGTTTCAATATAATGGCTTATACGAGTGTCGGTGATTACGAAAGTCGGAAAGTGGGATCGATTACGATGTGATGATTACAGATCCAGCTGTTTACCTGTCGTTTTAGAACCAGAATCCCTCATACAAGGTTTGTTTTTCTTGATTTATTTCGCTTTCAATTCTTAAAAACTGAAGTAATTCAGTTGATGAAGTGTACACGAAAGTTGTATTTCTCAAATGCTTACAGTTGTATTGAAACTCTTCTTCACACAAATTGGGGGGTTTCCGCCTTTTCTTTTATAGATTATTTAGGTTAATACCGAATATTTATGTTTTCTGCACAGATTTGAACTTGTTGAAGGAGATGGAAAACAGTCAAAGCACGACGAGCGTTATTGCAAAATTGATGGGTTTTGATGAAACGCCACCCCATCAGCAGCCTGTTTCTAGGCAACAAAGGGTCTTGTCTGACAACTATCTTCAGAAATCTGGTTCTATATGGAAGAGATCAAGAACATATTCCCAAAACAATCTTCTGGGATCCAAGAAAAGGGTGAATCAAAGAACAAATGATTCTTATATTGAGCAGAAAGTTTTGAGTTCTGAAAACAACAGAGAAAATGGGAAATCAGACACAGTGTTGACCAGAAAGAAGATTTTTCTCAAACCAAACTTAGCAAATATACAACAATCTTCCCGACCTTCCTTTCTACTTGATTCTCAGACCACTTTTGCCTGGGAAGCCAAGAAACAACTATTAGAGAGGCTCAAAATGACCAGAGTTTTTCAAGAACGTCAATTTAGTAGCCAAAAGTGTTGTAATCTTGGTGAATTGTTTTCTTTGAACAATACAAAACCAACCTCAAGAGTTGGAAGTTCGATTGGTATTAGCAGCAATGAAGGTTGGAAATATGATTCCGCTACCAAATTACCAATATTCGAACGTTTTGACTTTTCTAGTTTGACCAAAAAGTCTGTGAAAATGACTACGACCGATGTGAAGCCAGGTTCTGGGAAACTGGTGAACGTTATGCATACAAACACCAAGAAGAATCAACTGGTTTCAAATTCAGCAACTCCCTTCGTTGCAAGTTCTAACACAGATGCAGGAACTGAGGATCGTGAATCTTTTTATGGTGACACCAAAGAACATCCCGATAGCAAGATTGAAGCTTATCATCATAGTCCAAATTCAGTTCTCGAACCCCCGTTCAGGGAAGACAATTCGTCAAACTCCGAGTACTGCGAAAGCTCTAGCAACGATCTCCATGGTTAGTGTACACAAACCAAATCTTTTCTGTATCATAAGCTTTATACATCCGTTGTCTCATGTATGCTAATATTTCACAGATCTATGGATGGAAGATGATTTCGGCCCTGAAATGGCTACATCCAGCGACGACGAAAGATCATGTACTGGTCAAACCCTAGGGTCAATGACACCATTCGGAGCCAAAGAAAGTCGCGATTTTTCATACATGGTAGACGTATTAGACGAATCAGCGTTTCAAGATGGCGACGTGGAGATACGTTTTGAAAAATGGCATTCCTCTGAATGTTTGGCGAGCTATTCAATTTTTGAAACATTAGAGAAGAAATACGGGAAGCAAGAATTATGGCAAAAGTCCGAGAGGAAGCTTCTATTTGATCGTATAAATTCAGGAATGATCGAGATTCTCAGACCACGGATTGATATTCGTGTTTCCCCTAATTTATTACAGAGAAAGATGAGAAATATGTCGAGAAGAGACGTCATCGAGGAAGAACTATCGATGTTTTTACTCAATCAAGAAAAAGGAGTCAACGATGGAGTGTCTGAGAAAGCGGTCGGTAGAGAACCATGGTTTGATCCGGTGGACGAAATTGATTCACTCGTCACGGAACTCGAAATCTTTTTGTTTGACAAGTTAACAGCAGAGTTAGTCAATGTTTAATTTTTCTATATATAATAACACCGATCATTCCACTTTTGAAGCTGAAAGTACTCCAATAAAAAAAAAAAACAGAAATTAAACAAAATACATGAAGATCAAGATCAAGATCAATAGATCAACTTCATGGTGTAGTAAGGTAGACCTTGACATGAACAATGGTTTCAACGCCATCAGTAGTATGTTCATCCACCTGAGGAAGACTTTCAATGGTGGCATACCCTTTAGCCTCTTCATACTTTCCGGTCCCACCAATGACAGCAATATGCGAGATTTCCGAAGCAGTCCGGTGGACCCCAAAGAAACTAATCGTGTCATCCACCTCGTGGTCCCCACCATGGAACAATGTTGTAAGCGCAAACGTATGACTAGACCCGTCTAATGAGCTCGCGAGGTAAAACCCTTGTCCACTTCCAATCACCCCGGTTCCGAGCTCGTGTCCTTCGGTCAACTCATTGTCAATGACCGTGATTGACCCAAACATGAGTTGTTGGAGGGTGATTCCGGCCGGTAGTTGACCTGCGGCAACAAACGGTAAGTTGTTTCCGCCGTTTACGACATTGTTGTTTCCGGTGTTTTGTAGGACAGTGTTGGAATTAGGGTTGTTGTTTCCGTTGAATCCGGCTAGGAATGGGAGGTTGTTGTTGTTGACTATGCCGTTGATGTTGTTGAGTGGGATTCCGCCGGTGATAGGAAACACTTGACTGTTGGGTGTGGAAAAGGGAACGGCGTTTGCGCTTGAGGTGGCTACGATTCCGGTGACCACCCTGCTTGTAGCGTGGGACCCTCCAATGACGTCATGCATAAAGAAACTCATCGTTGGATGATCTGCTGCACCGGTTGCTGGTGGTACAGTGCTAGCAACCGATGTAGACCCACCAACGGGTGTTGTCGCTGGTGTCGTTACACCGGTGGCAACAATTGGATTTTTTACGACTGGTGATGGGATGGAAGGACTGACAAGTGGTGCAGGTGTGATGACGGTGGGGGTGGGGTCCACTTGAGGGGCCACGTCAGGGGTATCGGCATCATCTATTGGATCAGTGGAGTCGTGTTGGTTGGTTGAAAACGGGGCTGTGTCTGTGAGGATGCGGGTCCCCCTAGAACATTCAAGAGAGATTGAGAGTAAAAAGATGCAAAGTGCAGTTTTGAGAAGGGTAGAAGGGTTGTAGAGGGCCATCTGGGCGGCGTTGTTATTGAGGAATAGATAGAGAGTTTGTGTTTTGATGATGAGAAGAAGGGTCAATATGGACTTATTTATATATGCGATGAGAATTGAGAAGTGGAGCTGATGAGGTACTATGGAGTTGGTCATTTTAGTGGTTTGGTTTAAAGCTAATTATGATTTATGAGCATATTTGTTATGGGAATTTGAATGCTGTTGTTGAGTTATTGTAAGAGAGCATATTTGATCCGCTGTTCAAAAAAAAAAAAAAAGTTTTTGTATGAGAGCATATTTGATCTGCTCCAATAAACGAAGGACTATATGAGAAGGATGGGTTTGGTGATGAACTAAAATCAACCCTGTCCATTTTCTTTTTATAATTTTGTACGAGAATAATGCTTATAAAAACAAACCACAAACACTAAAATGATGATTATTTAACACCATTTTAGTGATTTCATTCCAACCAACCTCTAAAATGGTGTTTTTTAGAGGATTTTACATTTGACCTCTATATTTGGTGTTAAAAAGGAGTCAGCACAAAAATGGTGTGACTTTTGAAGGTTGATTGGAGTAAAATTGACCTCTAAAATGGTGTTTTAGAGATCTATTGGAGTTGGCCTTAAGGATTTTCATATAACCATAAATAACTAGATTTTTTTTCTTTCTAAATCTCCTAAGTAATTTCAATATTTAAATTCTTTAGATCTGTATGACAAATTTTTCCTAATCAAAAGTTCATTTTGTAGGTAAAGGAGTATTGGAGTAGTAATATAATACATAAACATGTTATAGATAAAGTATTTGAAGGGCTATGAAAATCCACAGGAGACTGGATATCTTGTATTTAAGATTGAAAATGGTTGATGATTACATTTTTACATAATAATAGTTTATTAAAAATATATAATTTGATTATTAGAAAAATAATGAAGTTAGTTGTGATGTATAAGAGAAGTTTTGATAGATTGGTGAATGAATATTTTGCATATAAGATTGAACTTGGAGAGGGCCCGATGTATAATCCTATTTTGATTATGATAATTGAAAAGACTAGTAGATTCCTTCAACCATTTTTATCAATTAACTTAAGGAGTTTTGGACACGAGCACTACTTGAAATTCACTTTTATGATACAATAAAACATTAAGAAAAAAGAAGTTACGGATATATAATTATATTAACCAGAATTAAAAGATACAGGACTGAAAAAAGTAATATTGATTATCATTTTGTGTCATTTGATACAATCATTTTTAGGGAAATTGACACCGTAACATAATTAAGTTTGGTGTTTGTTCCGGATAGGTCACTATTTTTTATTTTTTTTGTGCAATAGATTCTTAAAGTATTATTTTATCTGTTACATTTAATCTAGGTGGTTTTTTTTTTCAACATAAAACATCAAAACTTAGTAACGTGGTTTTTCTTTTCATTTCATCAAAATCAAGTGATGAGAGGAAAAGATGGTAGCAGGTGATGTTGATTCCGGTGAATCACACACGAACCGTGTTGATCGAATAAAAGGAAAATTAGGGTTTTATTGATAATAAAGGCAATATATGATCCATAACAATGCACTTATATTTATGTACATGTAATAGCAACGTACATATAGTTTTTTTTACCTGAGGGCAACATGTTTACATTTGTTTACCATTAACAACAAACAAAGTATATTGCTGATATTCGTATTGAACGTTGGTACAATGGATGAAAAGTGTAAGTATGTGGCTGTTATTTGTAAAAACATAAGTACGTTGCTATTGTAGAATCCAACTATGGTAAAAAACATAAGTACATGTATAGTATCTAATGATGTTATTGTAATAAAAAATGAAAGTCATAGTCTTCTCCGGATGGAAATAAAACATTTCGGTAGAAAACAATGAAAAGGCAAGCAAAACTAATTTTTTGGGGTCTCACAAGGGAAAAGTTGTCCCCTTTTTTAAAAAAATAGCTGCGTATTTAGGTGTAACAATCCAGGGAACATAATGAATATGACACGTTCCAATAGGGAGGTACATTGAAAAAATATTCTTTTTTTTACCTAAAGCAAAAAAATCACATACATGTATGGTTATTACAACATTGTACTTCGTTATTTTTTTTCCTCAAATTAAAATAGTAACCGTAAAAACGTTACCAAATTATAGCATTGTACTTCCAATTTTTTTTACTTATTAGGACATTTTTGGTCAAAAAGTCAACCCAATTATAGCATTGTACTTTGTTATTTTTTTCCCGCAAATTAAAATAGTAACTGTAAAAAAGTTACCAAATTATAGCATTGTACTTCCATTTTTTTTTACTTATTAGGACATTTTTGGTAAAAAGTCAACCCAATTATAGCAGTGAAATTATACTAAATATACTGAAATTCTTTTTTGTGTTTTGTTTTGTGACAGTTAAAAATTGGTTTTTGACAGTCATCAGTTTCCCCCACAAACAAAAGCAGCTCTGCCCTGTTTTTATAGAAGCAGTAAAAAGAAGGAAGAGAGCCAAAGGGACACATTATTTCAAAGTTGGTATTAAGTTCTGTTTCTGTATGCTTATTTTTTTTACTATCAAGGGCAATTGCCTTTTTGTGAAAATTCTTTTTTTTCTCAAGGATGGGTCTTTTTTTTTTTTTTTTTTTGTAGCTATAAAACATAGAGTTTTAAAATCTTGTTAATTCAGCATACTTTATACTATTCATGTTTTTGAAGTTATTTCTATTGTTTCTGCAGTGGCTTATGTCAAAACCTTTGCAGTATGTTAAAGTCTGTTTATACTTTATTGTGTAAATAAATGTGGTGAAATACCTATACTTTGTCAGAAGATACGTATAAATACAGTAAGAAGGGCCAAAAAAGTAATTTTTATTTGAAGTAAGGATAGTTCCTCCCTCCCTCCTATCTCCATCGGTCACTCCCCGCTCTTCCCCTCCAAACTCTCAAAATTGATGTTGCCGCTGCGAACCCATGGTGTTTCTCTTGCCCAATAAGCTCGCACTAAACCTCTTCATTATTAATAAAATAAGTTCATGACAACAGCTCCTATTTATCGATCCATCTTCACCCAATTCCTCGAATACACCCAACAGAAAAACATCCCAAATGGCCGAACGCTCCATGCTCATATCATAAAAACCGGCTCCACCCATTGCTCTTACATTGCCAATAGCCTCGTTAACTTCTACGCCAAATGCCATCTCTTAGCCGAAGCTCATCTTGCTTTCGAAAGCATCGAAAACAAGGACGTTGTCTCATGGAACTCATTAATCAGTGGATATTCTCAACTGGGTGGTCGTCAGAATTCTATCCTTGTCATGGAACTTTTCAAGAAGATGATGAGCCAAGAGAATATGGTGCTACCCGATGCTCGTACTTTTGCCGGCGTCTTTACCGCTGCTTCGGCTTTAATGGATTCATATGGAGGGAAACAAGCCCATACAGTTGCCTTAAAGTTGGGAAAGTGTGAGGACATTTTCGTTGGTAGTTCTTTGTTAAACATGTACTGTAAGTCGGGGTTTGTTGACGATGCCCGTAAGGTGTTTGATGAAATGCCAGAGAGAAATTCAATTTCTTGGGCTACTATGATTTCCGGGTATTCAATGCAGAGGATTTGTGACCATGCATTGGAACTTTTCAAGGCGTTGGTAGCTCAGGAAGAGGAGCACGTCAATGAATTTGTAGTCACAAGCATCTTAAGTGCATTTACTTTGCCTGAATTCATTCACACTGGACAACAAATCCATTGTTTAGGACTCAAACACGGCCTTTTGTCTCATGCATCTGTAGGTAATGCAATCGTCACAATGTATTCAAAATGTGGAAGCTTGGATGAAGCTATCAAGGCATTTGAGTCATCAAACAACAAGAACTCCATTACATGGTCTGCAATGATCACTGGGTATGCACAGGGAGGCGACTGTAAAAAAGCATTAACATTGTTCTCAAAAATGCATTTCATCGGGTTAATCGCTAGTGAATTTACACTTGTTGGGGTCCTTAATGCTTGTAGCGATGGTTTAGCTATAGAAGAAGGAAAAGAGACACATGCATACTCAATAAAATTGGGCTTTCAACATCAAATTTACATAATGACTGCTTTAGTTGACATGTATGCTAAATGTGGTTCCTTAGATGATGCTCGAAAAGGGTTTGATCATTTACAAGAACCTGATATAGTACTATGGACATCAATGATTGGAGGGTATGTTCAAAATGGAGAAAACGAGAGTGCTATGGACTTATTTTGTAGAATGCAAAAAGAAGGTATCTCACCAAATGAACTAACCATGGCAAGTGTTCTAAAAGCATGCTCAAGTCTTGCAGCTTTAGAGCAAGGAAAACAAATCCATGCCACTACTATTAAACATGGATTTGGGCTTGAGGTCCCAATTGGTAGTGCACTTTCAACCATGTATACTAAATGTGGAAGCCTTAAAGATGGAGGTCTTGTATTTACAAGAATGCCATCGAGGGACATTGTGTCTTGGAACTCGATGATTTCTGGGTTGTCACAAAATGGTCAAGGGAATGAAGCGATTGAATTATTTGAGGAAATGCAGATTGAAGGTATGAATCCGGATTATGTTACTTTTGTAAATGTTCTTACTGCTTGTAGTCATATGGGAATGGTGGAAAGAGGTTGGGATTATTTCAAGAAAATGTCAGATAAATATGGGATCACACCAAGAATCGAGCACTATGCATGCATGGTTGATCTTTTGAGTCGTGGTGGAAAGTTAAATGAAGCTAAAGATTTTATAGAATCAGCACCTATAGATCATGGTCTTTGTTTGTGGCGTATTTTATTAAGTGCTTGTAGGAATTATCATATTTATGAATTAGGGGCGTACGCGGGAGAGAAATTGATGGAATTGGGGTCATTGGAATCTTCTGCTTATGTGTTGTTATCGAGTATTTATAAGGCTTTGGGAAGATTGAAAGATGTTGAAAGAGTTAGAGAAATGATGAACTTTCGTGGTGTGAGTAAGGAACCTGGGTGTAGTTGGATTGAGATTAAGAGTCATTTTCATGTTTTTGTTGTTGGAGATCAATTGCATCCTGAAATTAAGGAAATACGTTTGGAGGTAAATAGGTTGAGTAAGCTAATGAAAGATGAAGGTTATCAACTTGAATTTGATTCAAACTTTGGAGGTTTGGAAGTTTGAAAGGACTTGGTTTGCAGAATGTTTTTGAAGGAATTAAAATATGTTAAAGAAATTAAAATTTAAAGGATTTGGAATATGGATAAATTGAATTTTGTCACGCTTTTGGTTAGCATGAAATTGAATGAAATTTGTTAGCAAATAGAGGGAAATGTCATCGAGAGGGGAGGGGAGGGGAGTTTACTTTTGAAATTATCGGGTTAGAAGAGTATTTTTTGAGTAAGTTTTTAACCAAGAAATGCTCAAAATTGGATTCCATTGGTTTTAGGATGGAATGTTTAAATCTATAAATCATAGGATTTTATGAATTTTGATAAAATTAAAATTAATACTCATTTGCACCCAAACACGGGTTTGGAATGGAATTGAATTCCAATTTCCGACTAAATCCCATGAATCTTGCTATCTAGTTTCAGATTTTTAATTTATTTTATATTGTATACATGTATTAATGCAAAGTGACGGAGAACAACGATTGAGGGAAATGAAAAAGAATCCATAGCTAAAGGAATCCTCACTCATTGAAGTTGTTACTTTACCTACTACCACTTTTAATATGTATTCTTGTTCAATTCATGTTCGTGATTTGAAAGCCTTAGAATTTAGACTAATTAAAACCCTTATTTGCTCGATTAGGTGGACTTAAGTCCATCATTCATGATTGTCTTCATATTTTAAAATTAGGTAGAGTTTTTGACTTTTCTACATGATTGATGGTGTATCGGTTGTTGATTTTTTTTTACTTGATCATGTTATATTAGGTCTTGATATATCAAACCAAAAAGTGGAACAAATTGGAATAGGGACTCATTCTCGTGAAAATGAGTGTTTCGACTAAATAACATACTATGAGTAGATGATTTTTTTTATCACTTGATCATGTTATATTAGGTCTTGATATATCATACCAAAAAGTGGAACGAATTGAAATAGGGACTCATTCTCGTGAAATTGATTGTTTCAACTAAATAACATACTATGAGTAGATGATTTTTTTTATCACTTGATCATGTTATATTAGGTCTTGATATATCATACCAAAAAGTGGAACACATTGGAATAGGGACTCATTCTCGTGAAAATGATTGTTTCGACTAACATACTATGAATAGATGATTACTTAAAAATCTAATGACATTCAGAAACACTTTACTTGCAAGATTTGGTACACACCTCGGAAATGGAGGCATTATGATTTTTATATAAGGAAATGCAAGAATACAAGGTTCTTACTATTGACTTCTTATACAAGTGTAAACCCTAATTAGCATTCTTTTTACTCGACTCATCATTATTCTTCTTTTGCTCCCTCTCCATTCTCGAGTTTCCTTGAGCAATTTTCTCATTGATCCAAGTAATAATGTCAGCAAACACAATATCAGTGTTTTCACTAAATTCCCCGTAAGTCAAAGCATGCCACATCCCCGGGTACAGCTTAAATGTCTTGTCAGTACTAGATGCTTTCTCATACAAAAGTTTGCTTGCTGTGGGGTCTGTCACCTTGTCGTCGCCTCCATGTGCAAGGAAAAATGGCAGTTTCACCTCTTGGAGTCTTGTTTCGAGGTTTGTGGTGACACCATATAATTCATTAGCAGTTTGCAGGCGTACACGACCTTTGTAACATAATGGGTTGTTACGAACCTGTCACAAGGAAATACAAATGATTTGATTGATATTTGAGATAAGTGAAACTAAATTATAATAATCAATGAAGAAAAAAAGTGAAGTTTGTGTACCTCCTCTCTAATTTTAGGATCTCTAAAGGCTAGTTCAATAATATCTTGACCAGGGACTATTCTCCACGTCGGTATGATTCTTGTAAGGTGTGATAATATGCTTACCACAATTTGTGGTGGTTTCATATCGTCAGAAAGCTGAAAATTTTAACATATATAAAAAAATACAAATATTAAATAAATAGGAATAAAAGAAACTAAAGATAACCAATAAGGACAGAATAACAATACAAGAAATTTAATTTATGTTTTTTATATTGAAGAATTGTTCAAATAAACAAAAATGATTGAAAACTAGTCATTCATAACCCAATGTGACAACTTAAAAGCTTAAACGTAAATGATTAAATCTTTCTCTTTAATAAAACTACTTCAGTTATTTGTCAATGAGATTAACCACCAACATATCCATTATGGTTTTGTAGCTGGTAATTGATATATATATATATATATATATATATATATATATATATATATATATATATATATATATATA